TTATACTAATAATAAAAATAATTAAAATAGTCTAAACTAAAGGTAAAGTAATATCTCTTTTATAACTAGATATAACTAAGGCTTTTAATAATATAAACTATAGGTTATTAGTCTAAGAGTTTTAAAATCTTAGTTTTTTAAAAACATTATTAAGTTTCTAAGGTCCTTTTTAAATAAAAAAATAATATAGCTTTAAATTAATAATAGCCTAATAATAAAATAATTAGTTAAGTAAGATATATTTTAAGGTTTATTATTATTATTAAAAAATTTTATATTATTTATAAGTTTTTTAAATAAAATTCTTAAAATAGTTTTGAAGTTATATAATATAATTAATAAGTAAGTTATATAAATAAATAAGTTATATACTTACCTTAACTTTATAATTTTTAATTATTAATAATTTAACTATAATATTAAAAAAGATTTAAAATTAATTAAAATCTTTTTCTTTATTAGTCTTTATATTTATAATATAAATATATATATTATATTTAATCTAATTATATATATTATATTATTAATTATATATTTTAACTTTTATTTTATTATTATTATAAGCTTATATTTTAATTTTTATTTAATTATTAATATTTATTTATTTCTTTAAATCTCTTATATTTTATATAAAAAATAATTTTATAATTTATAATTTAGTTTTTTTAACTTACTAATATTTATTAATAAACTTATTTATAATCTTAAGTTTATATACTTAAATATATAAAAAATATAATTTTATATAAATAACTATTTTTTTTCTAAATTTATTAAATATATTAAGACTTTTAATTAAAAAGTTATCTAAATAATTAATAATTTATTTTTTTAAACTAAAAACTATAAAGTTATTTTAATTATAATATTCAATATTTAAAAAACTTAAAAATTAACTAAACTTAAATATAAGTTTATAAAGTTTAATATTATAAACTTAAGTTTTAAAATAAAAATAACTTTTTTAAGATTAAAAGAGGTAATTTTAATTTAATACCTTAAAAATTATTTTAAATATTTTTTATAATAAACTTATTAAAAATATTAAAAATATAAGTTTTTATAATATATATAATATTAATTTT